TAATTGTTCCGTTTTTATCTGTGTTCCTTACCTGGGATGAGCTCTCTTCCATCTTTTTTTTCCCGCCTGAGCAAGAAACAAAGAAATACCACAATATGTAACTAATCAATGAGCAGAAAGAATTCTAAAGTCTTATTAAGATTTTGGAGTAGCATGGCAGAGGGAAGGACTCAACCAAGTAAGAATATTGGGAAATCATTCATAGCATCACTTTGCTTGATGTTTTCCATTATTACACCAGAGGAAGAGAATAAATCATACTTCATGGGTATTTTTATGTTACTAACGCCAGGTATAGTAAACTTATGATCTTTTGTACAACTTCATTATTTTGAGTTCTGACTAATCTCTGTAAAATTTTGAGCTATTAACTGCTCCACCGATGTATCTCAGTTCAATCATTACTTCCTTAGCGAAGTCACTCATTTATTCATTCAACAAATGTTTGTTGAACACTTACCATGTGTCAAACATACTAGGCACTGGAGCTAAAGCCAGTGCCCTTCGAGAAGTTATGTTCTAGCAATGAAAGATAAACGATAAATTCATTTTGCATGTAACATGGAAACTATATAATGTAATAAGTCCATAGAGGGGAAATAAGCAAGGTAAGGGAACGGATATTCCTGAGGATGCAGTTTAGAATAATCAGGGTAGACTCAGCGATTGCCAGTGGAACAAAGACCTGAAGAAGACCAAGAGCCAGGTGAATACCTGGATGGGAATATTCCAGTGTAAGGAAAAGGCTCTGAGCAGAAACGTGCCAAGGAGTTCAGCAGGGTGGCCAGAGCGGTGGACACAGAGTGAGTTCAGGAGGATAGATAACATCGGGGAGAGGGGACTGAGAGATGAGGAAGTGGTCCAGGGGCCATAACAAAGGCTTTTGCTTTTGTTCAGAGTGAAAATAGAGTCACTGAGCAAAGAAGTGACATGATTTCAAATACAGACTTTTTGTGTGTTGAGATTAGATTATGGTAGTTCATGGAAGGAAGAAGTTAGGACCCCTGGACTGAGTCACATCCCCTATGATACAGTCTCCTAAAATACTGTAGAACACCCCTTGGAGACCAACAGCTGTTATTTCTCTTTACTTGGTTCGTGGTGTCCTTTTTCCTCATGGTACTGAGGATACCTTGGAGAAGCATCTATATCTAATTTTGCTTCTGTTACATCTGCAGTTCTCACACAGTGAGTGGTGTTCAGTAACTATGTGCTGAATAAAGGAATTTATAAATATCCTGTTACTCCAAAGTGAAACTCTATTATCAGTTTTATGTCTACTACAGGAATAATAAGTTATTTACTTTTTAAGAGAAATTTTTTAAATGTCTTTTTATGTGAGCAGTTTATTACTAGGTCAGAAAGACCTTAAAATGAGATTTAGATAAATAGTAAAATCAGCATTGTCAGTTTTATAATATGCATGTGATACTCACATCATACAGGATAATCTCTCGTTCACATAATGAAGAGAAAAGTGAAATTGGAAAAAGTGTCAAAATGACTAATACGGAAAAGATATGAGAACTATAGCATGCCTACATCTGAAGTATGACCATGGGTTTTCCTGACATGCTGAGAATCAGATGATCAAATTTTTTAATTTTTTGTATCTGCTTTATAAACATATAGAAAAACAAGGCAAAAATGAGGATCTTATTAGAGAGATAAAATTAAATCAGAAAATTTATGTTCCCAAAAAAAATCATAGAAAAGAAACTTAACTTTTGGGCTATGTAATTGTATAGTGTTTAAGGACACAGGTTTCTGAGTCAGAGAGATCCCAGTTCAAATGCTGACTTTACAATTGACCATCTCTGCGAACTTGACCTTTGAGGTCAATTTTTACATCACTTTTTTGCTACAAATCTGGACCTTATCAAACTTGAGACTCTGGGCTCCCAGTGCTTTTAGCCAGAGTATCTCTGTCTGTCCCTCTCATTACAGCTTTGAGAGAATAAGCTCCCCACTGTTGGGGATGCTCCCTCGGCTGCACAGACAGTCACTACCTGACCCAGCGTGGCATTTCCCATAAAGAGTCTCATCATTCTTCTGTATTATTTCTCTGTGCATTACGTGCCTATATGCCCAACCCAAAAACATGAGGCTAGACACCCGCTTCTCTGTTACTCTCCACCTCTACTTTCCATCTTTTTGGAATCGCTTGTTCGTATCATCTGTATCATGCATTTGTTGATTTCAGTACTTTTACAGTTATTTATTTCCCCTTCAACACTTAATTTGTCCCTGACGCCTCCCTCCTCGTGACTGGGCAGTGACCCCA